GTCTGCCTCGAACCAGGCGCATTGAGTGTGCCACCCAACTGTGGGCAAAACCTCTTCATGTGCCTCGCTTGCCCACACTGATAACAAGTGAGTGGCTGGCCTCTCTCCTGACTCTGGCTCTGAGAACGAGCCAAAGACGATGCAGACTGCTACCCTCCACCTCTCTACGGGCAAGCCGAAGACTTGTGGCCCAACTGACCACATTTGAAACAAGTAATGTCTCCTTGATCACCCCTCCCAGAACCCGAACTTGGTACCAGAAAAGTAGACCTTGACTATACTCCTTGGGATGGTTGTGGGTTAGAACCTCTTTGCCTCTTACTATCCTCCTGCACATCCTGATTCCTTCTAGAGCCGCTCATCCTCTCCTCTTCTATTTGCGTCACGGTCTCCAGATGAGCCACCGCCTCCACAAGGCGCTTATAATCCCTAATCATTGACCTGACCACTTTAAACATGAGCCCGGTCCTCAACCTCTTCTCAAACTCCAAACAACGGCGCTCCTCAGTCGCCACTAACTTTGGTGCAAACCTAGAGAGGCTAGTGAATGTGGCCTCAAACTCGGCCACCAAAGTGTTCAACTACACAAGCTTCGAAAATTGGTCTCTCAACTTCTCCCTAACTGTGGGAGGTAGAAAGTTGTCCTGGAAGGCGCTGATAAAAGCCTCCCAAGTCACCCCAATGCGCCCTCGCACATACTTCCATCACTGACCCGCATCTCCCTTCAGTTGGAAGGATGCCAAGGTCACTCTCAACTGGTCGTCTCAATGCTAAGCATCTCAAACGTCTTCACTATTTGTTCTAGCCACTCATCTGCCTTCAGTGGCTCCTTGGGATCACCCAAAAACTCATTCAGATTCGATCGGAAAAACTCTCACTTCAGAAACGATGGCCTTACCTCAGCTACTTGGGCCTAAACTTGATTCTTAACCCTGAGAATGTCCTTGGATTCCCGTAATGCTCCGACCATTTTTCGGGCTAAGGTACCCATGGCTTGTTGGCCAACTGGTTTGACCATGTTGGCCTGACAAACCCCTTCTTCTTGCGCCGGAATATCATCCGGTAAAGGCACTTCATGCCTCCTAGGCCTACCACGCCTACTACCACTATGTCCACGTCCTGACATCCTAATAAAGGTAACAAAAGAGATTAACACATTTACAAATGTGTCGAAGCTAAATCACTCGCGTCCTAATGTGGTGGACAATAGTAATTCACTCCACATAAGCACGTAATTATGTAAACACATCCAAATTTCATTCCTGGATAATGATTGTCCCGCATTGTCGCTAGAGTTCCAATTAGAAACAACAGTGATCAAGTGCTCTTCTAATGGGACTTCTAGAAACCTGTGGACTCAATCAATATCCTAGAAATTAAATCCCATACCCATATAATCACATAAGCATGTTATCATACAAGCACACATCGTTTATACTAAAGTTTCTAGGAAGCGAGAAAAACCTATTATGGTACTAATCACTTCCCACGTACCCAAAGTATTTAAACCCAGTATGCTCTAATACCAAGTTGTAACGCCCTGAAATAAATGCCATAAACTAGCCCCCAACAACATATACACAATCATAGGAACAAAGTAGTAATCTTTCATTAATTAGAGTTAATTTACAAAAAAGTGACACATGCGATATACATTCATAAGTTCTACCCTTAATTTATAGCATGTGATACCATCTTAATGATCAACAAAATAAATGCCCTACAGGCTTACATTTTTCCAAGACTATGCTTGGTTACAACAAAAGAGAGAGTCTTAAACTCCATACATGTAAAACCATAGGCTTGTACAAATATTAAATACAAAATGACAAAACAGATCCTTTAGCTCCTAGGTTCTTCCAAGCTAAGTCCTTGGAGGAGGCATGTCACCAGCACCTGAAAATGATTTTCCAAGTAGGGTGAGCCAAACCCCAGTAGAAACAATCTAACACAATATATGAATATTAACAAAGATATAAGTATGATGCATATGTTCAATTTTCAAATGACAGATCTTTTACAACCTTTTCCAAAACCATGTTTTGTCAAACTTATGCCTCAATTCATTAGTTATACCCACTTCATTTAGTCAATCAAACAGAGGATACACCCCATAGGCCTCCAACCAATATAATTATCAAACAAAATACATTTACTTGCCATTTTACGAAAATTTTATCTGCGGGAATCGGCACCCATGTGTACGCGCGGTTTTCGGGACTTTTACCCTAGATACACAGGTCAACTTAGTTTAATGGAGTCCATCCCCTTTTCAACCTTACTAAATGAAAAAATAAAAATAAAAATTCATTAACTATAAAAAAAATTATTTTAATAAAAAATTATTTTTTTAGCAATGACATCCTCTATTACAAAAAAAAAAGAAGTCATTTTATTATTTAAATGTTTATTTATAATGAAAATAAAAAAAAATCCAAAAAAATTTTCATTCTCCCTCCTGCCTTTTCCATTTCCGCTTGGTTCCCCCACCCCAAACCCAAAATCCCCAATCTCAAAAATCCCTAATCTCTTTCCCCCCCCATTCCCGCCCGGGTTTTCCCCCACCCCAAACCCAAAATTCCCAATCTATTCAACCAGTGCAGTGAAGCAACTTCACACCCAACCTCTCAATCCATCGCGCCTGGTTCTTCAAGCTGAACAAAATGAGCAGTAGTAGTAGAAAAGCCAAGAACATGAACAACAATCCCATTTACAAAAACCCTAACTCCCCAATCGAATCCAGAATCAAAGACTTACTCTCTCGAATGACCTTGTCCGAGAAGATCGGCCAGATCACTCAAATCGATCAACCAGTGCAGTGAAGCAACTTCACACCCAACCTCTCAATCCATTCGAGACCTCTCCATCGGTCTCTCTCTCTCTCTCTCTCTCTCTCTGTTTTTATGCATTTTTTTCCTTTGATCTTCGATTCATTGATTTCTCAGGGAGTATTCTCAGCGCCGGCGGTGGTGGACCGTTCGAGAAAGCAACGTCGTCCAATTGGATCGATATGATTGACAGATTTCAGAACGCTGCGCTCGAGTCTCGCCTCGGGATTCCACTTCTCTACAGTACTGACGCTGTTCATGGCAACAACAATGTCTACGGTGCCACTGTATTTCCTCACAACATTGGCCTTGGAGCTACTAGGTATTATATGTAACTATTGTTGTTGCTTGAGAGAGTGTTAGTTTGTGTGACAGAGATGCAGAGTTGGTTAGGAGGTTGGAGTTGCAACTGCTCTTGAAGTTAGGGCTCGTGGCGCTCAGTTTACTTTTGCTCCTTGTGTGGCTGTAAGTTCTCGTAATTTTTTATATTAGATTATTTGATCGGATTATTATCAGACCATTCTGTGTTCATTTTGGTTCAAATTGGTCATCCATGTATCAAAGATTTATGTAAATATGAATGAACTTTGTTTGTGGCATTATGTGTTTGATCAAACGCGAGAATGAACTTTGTTTTTTTCTTTCCCAAAGAAAATATGAATCTTAAGCATTTTCAATGAAGTTGAGACTGAAAGATAGAAATGGACGGTAAGCTAAGTGGGCAACTGTTAGATTTCTTTGAGAAATAAATGCAGAGAAGTGGTTGTTTCTGTATAGCTTTAAAATGATCTTTAGCATGATACAATCATATTTTGGGAAACAATCACTATATTGGATAAATTTCATAATCTTAGCCGTAACCTGAAGTTCTTCATGATTACCCCCACCCCTCTATCCTTTTTTTTTTTTTTTTTTTTTTTTTTTTTTTTTGAAGCCAACAAATCACAGAAGATAAGAAGACAAACTTGCCTGCCCACTTTTTACGAGATACCAAGTTTTATTTATTTCTTGTGTCATGGAAGGAAAATTATTAGGTTGTCCAGACTACCATGTGCCATTAGCCTATGTGGTGTGCTGTCAACAAATTAAGAACCACAAAACATATTAGGTGGGTCATCATTTGTCTTTCAACTACCCAACAAACATGGGTAAGCATTATACCATCCATAAAATTTTCTGTTGCTTCATTGGCTGGAGTGCCACGTGGACAATACCACATGATTCTCTGAGACGAAATAATTGGCCGGCTGTAATTAGGCAGCCTAATGGAGCATTAGCATTTTTCCTTGTAGGAATATATAGGTCATTCCACAATGTATGTTCGTAATTCATTAGTGTTGGAGTTCATTCCAAAATGTTTGTTCATAATTCATTAGTGTAGGCCTTGTTTAAATTCCATTTTGATTTTCATTCCTTATATTTGGTTTCTAGTATTTTTTTTATGGTGTCTATTAACCCTTTAATTATTCTAGATTCATGTATACTTATTTCATTTTTGCATGAGCTAAATTATTGTTTTTGAGAACTGATATATGTGACCCATTTTTTTGCACCTTTGATATCTCCATGCACATGGCAAGATAGTATTTGTTTTCATTATTTTCTTAATGACCAATCATGATTATTCACGTAGGCGGTGATACAAAACAGTAACAAAAAATTTGTGACACATAACATTTCTCATTATTTTGTAAGCAATTTGGATAACTTTTGTAGTAATTTTATTTTTATTTAATTTTTTTTAACTGCCCTTTAGTTTAGTCTTTATCCCCACTTGTCTTTTTTAATGGATTACAAATATGCATTACCCTTTAGTTTAGTCTTTATCCCCACTTCGACTTTTTTAATGGAGTACAAATATCTGTACACTAAGTCTCTGTCGACATTATGAACACAGTTTAGTATTGCCTTGGTTCTAGTTACAAAGTGCTATAATATGGTTAATCCACTATTGGAACCTTCCATGCCATCTGACTCCTATCTGATAATGGGGCTAAACCGCATCATAGAAGGAAAACTTAGGTTCCCACTTCCTGATAATTAAGACTAGGAGGCGCATCTTCCAGGTAAATGCATGACATGATTATGCAATATAAGATTAATTATTAATATAGATTTCCATTAACCCTATCTTTATGATAACTTATGTGCCAAGCAAACCTTTTATGTCAGAAATGCAGATACACAAATCTAGGATGACGTTGGCTGATGATGTCAACTTAGAAGAATTTGTTATGACCAAGGATGAGTTTTCTGGAGCCGATAGAAAGGCAATATGTACTGAAGCTGGTTTACTTGCTCTAAGAGAGCGCCGTATGAAGGTGAGACAACTTCATTGTTGAATTATATGTGTATCATTTGTGTTTGTTGCAATTCCGTGTTACACTAATTCTTAAAAAACATGATGCTTTTTGGCTGCTCTGAATTTTGGCTTGTAAAGTGGAGATATGAGAGTATTAGACACAGATGAATCTTAAGTAAGGATTAGTGTTTCAGACCCTTAGTTATACTATATTGGGTCCCCTCCTATAGATCTAATTTTCAACTTTGTGAAAGAAAAAAGATGGGAGTTTGTGAAGGGAAATATCGAGAAGCAAAACAAAGGAAGAAACAAAAATGAAGAGGCAGATTTGGCCTGTTTGTTTTTGTTGATCAAAAAGATTATGGCCTGTTTTGTGGTACATATTCTGTTGCAAATCCCCCAGTCCAATATTTATTTTGCTGGTTGTTTGGAATCCTTAAGGCAGTGTTTGGTTCATGGATTTGGGGAGGGATTTGGAAAAGGAAAGAGAAAATGTAGGTGAAATGTTAATCCCCAAATCCTTGAACCAAACGCAGCTGAAATCAACAATATTAGACTGGAATCTATTTGGTTAGTAAATTTCACAAAGTACAGATTTTTTTGACTTCGTATTCAATTTTTAGGCACACAATATGCATAGGTGACATTGGCCTCGTATATGTTAGTGAACTCATGATGTCTAAGTTTTGCCTTTTCAACTACGGAAAGAGCAGAACAAAGTGAAATACTACTAATGATAATTAGACTAACCAAGAACAAAAACCTCAATGATAATTAATTATTACAAGAGTAAATAAATGAACCACTGTGTTAGTTATTTCTCTGAGTTTGCCTGTCCATTAAATATATATGTCCACGTCAGTCTTGAGGTCCTTAACTTTGTCCTTGTGAATTCAAAATCTATAGAAATTATTGGATGCTTTATACAATTGCATGTTGTTTAGACTTCGTCTAATAGAAATTGTTCTATGTGTGCCTCAGGTTACGCATTCAGACTTCAAGAAGGCTAAAGATAAGGTCATGTTCAAGAAGAAAGAGGGGGTGCCAGAAGGACTCTATATGTGAAAATACTCTGTTCTCTATGCATATAGGCATTTGTTTTGCTTGCTTTTAGACTCCCATTTCTGTGCTTCTATACTGTTGAATATTTCGCTATGAGATATATTGCCATCTCATGTGGGATGATGATGGTAGTTTCTGCAAGGACAACGTTCTGGTTAAGTCAGTTGCCGCTTAATCAATGAACTCATTTCCTTTTGGCAGATTTTCATGTCATCGAACAACTTCAATTTCTGAGGGTAATGTGTGTTGCTAATGTGTCATTTATTGTTTCCATTGTTGTGGGTCTGATGGAAAACTACTTTCATCTCCGGTTTAGAGAGCACTTTTTTCGTGGAAAATTCCTCTGAAACATGAGAAGCAAAAAAGATGGTTACCTAGTCATGGCATGGGTGAACTGTAATTTTTAGGGACATACTTGCAATCAGGGATGAAAGTAAGAATTCAATCTAATATCCTATAGAATTCAATCAGGGACATACTTGTAATTATTGTGAAGAAATTGTTATTTTTATATTATTATGGAAAATTTTTAATATTTTTAATATTTTTATCGTAGGATTTTTTCTTTTTTGCGACGGCATTACACCGTCGCAAAAAATAGAAAATTTTAATATTTTTATTAATTTTGTTACAGGTTTTACATTTTGCGACGGCATTATACTGTCGCAAAAAATAGAAATTTTATTATTTAAAATAGAAATTTTATTATTTTTTAATACTTTTTGCGACGACATTACACTGTCGCAAAAATGGAAAATTTCATATTTTTAATACTTTTTGCGACGGCACCACACCGTCGCAAAAAGTGTTTCTGCCGTTGCAAAAAAGACTATTAGCGACGGTATTTTTTGCCATCTCAAATAACATTTTTACCGACGGTAAAATCATGCCGTCGCAAAAAAGTCAAGAAATTTCAAACGTTATTAGCGACTGTACAGTGCCGTCGCAAAAAGGCAAAAATGCCGTCGCAAAACATTAGCGACGGCACTGTGCCGTCGCAAAAAGTCTTTTGCAACCCCTCCATTTGCGACCCCCTCTTGCCGTCGCAAAAAGTCATTTTGCCGTCGCAAAAAGTATTAGTGACGGCATTAGGAGTATTAGCGACGGTATTTTACCGTCGCAAAAAGTTAATTTTTTTGTAGTGGAATGATTTATCAAAAACTATTTCCTTTGGGTTGATAATTTTTTTTTTTTTAAAATCAATAAAATTTCCCTTATTAGTGACTTAGACTACCTCTAAAATTAACACACACAATTACCTCCCTTTGGGAAGGTAATTGAGTGTAATAATTTCAGAAGAGTTTCCCAAAATTTTTATTAAAAAACTTAAAAATCTCAATAGGTTAACCACCTTGGCAGTATCAATTTTCTAATTGGGACAATTTTAAAATAAATATTCACTCATTAAAAATATCAGTATTTATTATTTTAATATATAATAGTCTTTGCACCAATATGTTATTAAATACTAGTGGATGACCTGTGCCTACGGAACTCCAAGGTTTTTTTTTTTTTTAAAAAAAAAAAAAAAAATCACATCCAAGTTAATACACTTTTGACCAATGAAAAATAAAAATTAAGACAAACTAATGTAGTGCTTCCATACTGGTAAAAATTCACCACATTGTAGTTATGATCCATTCAATCCATTAATAATTCTTTGTATTCAAGATTAAACTCTGTGTCACAGTGTATATGAAGCTTTCAATATACACATAAACAATTACAATTATTTTTAATTCCCTTGTCCTTTTACTTTGTAATTACAATATGAAATCAGGAGAGATTAACTTAACACATATAGTTCATGAATTAATTTGAAACCAAAAAATAAATAACCATGCATGTTATATGTATAGCCTCAAGTGTAGTCCCACTTTAAACTTGGTTCAACATCTCTATATGCATTTTAGATCTTATTATTTCTTATTGCCAGTAGCACACCACCATAAATGAATGATGCTTGAAAAAGATCAAAAGATCCATTTGCAAATCCAGTTGATTTTTCAAAGGGAATTACAGTCTCACAAACTAATATCTTTCAAATGGAACCAGTTGATCTTTTCACATTAAATAAATTCATTCTATCCATTACATTGTACGCATACATATATGTATGCATTTATAGTATTTAAAGAAAGAATGACAGTAAAAAGAAAAGGCTTTTTATATTAGATATGTGTTGTCTCCCAATTGTGCAATCCATGTCGCCCAATTGTATATTCTGTCACCTAACAGCCTGTAATTCAAGTGATGAAAATGAACAATAGAAGGAAAAAAAAATCAGAGAAAATTTTAAAGAGGAGTGGAGAGTGGTGTTTTAAGAAGAGACATTTGAGAAGGAAGTAGTGCTTACATACTGGCAAAGAGGAAAGACTAAGTGGGTGCAGTGGCTATTGGGCATGTCAACATCGTTAATTCCTCTGTATCAAACTGATAAACATCAACCCAACTTCGATTTCGGTGGTTGATGCTACATGAGAGAGAGAGAGAGAGAGAGAGAGAGAACTTAGCCATTCAAAAAGCACCCAAATGGTTGTTACTCCATAATTTTCCTGAAATCTTTTTGTTACTCCACAATGGCACATTAGCAACTACAAATTAAAACGGAACTGATATTTGAACTGAACATCCAGTGTCATCGCCTAGATATTAACAAAGAAAATTTTAGAAGAAGAAATGATAAAGTTCACAAATTACAATTTAACGATCAACTTAATGATAAAAACTTAAATTCCACAATTTAGGAAAGAGGGCAAAACTCCCAGTTATGCCAAATCCACTTGGGAAAAAATAATAGTTCAAATATTATTCTGTGTATAAGTAAAAAAAAAAAAAATGTAATTAACATAATCATGCTTTTATCAAAAATGTGATCTAGTCAAAAACCCACAAATGAAACCAAATCAGTAGTAGCAAATGCTAGAAAAGTTATGATGAAATTCAGTCAGTGGTGGCAAGTACTCCATAACCAAATTTCAGTCATCACCATAACATCTGAAACCTTCAATTTAACTTAAAAAAAACAACAATTTTCTATTTTGAATTCCACACATATTGAATCCAAAACCAAACCAGTATAAAAATTAAAAATTAAAAATTAAAAATTAAAAATTAAAAATTAAAAAGCAAATTGAGATTTAGCTGAGAGAGGGAGGAAGTGAATCAACAACTGTTAACAACTCTATTGAAGCTCTATTCAAAATTACTTAATAACAAAGGTTACATGCAAAAACAAAATTAAATGCCCCAATTTCAGTTCAAACTTCCCAATTTCATTAGATTATTCAAGTAAAAATGATAAAATTTACAATGAAATCATGAAACTGCCCTATTTATACCCAAAAGACAGTATATATTCATTTTACTATTACCCAATACTATTAATTTAATTGAATTGAATCAATCTGACAAAGATATGAGCTATTACACTTTGTTTTCCTATGCATTTTGTTAGTTTCTTTAGACCAAGAATCAAACCATATAATTCAAGCAATCAATCAAAACCACACACATATGCAGATGCCAAACTAATAATATAAAATTTAAGCTAAAGATGCACTGTTTTATGTCAATATCAATAGCCTACCAATCAATAATACCAAGAACAAATAGAGATTAGATTCCACAATGAACATAGTTAAATCATTACACTATGAAAAAAAATAGAATTTGGAAATCAAATTGAAAGTAGGCTAACAAAAAGAAGGCTTCTTTGTTAAACCAACTAATAATGATGAAATTCTAAACAACCAATTAGAGGATTCTATGTAAATAAGAAGACTTTTGTTAATGAGATTAATCAAAGATTGAACATGATGATATTACAAATCCAAATAATTAAGTTATGAAATTCAAAACCAATTAACTGGAAAAAAAATAATTCAAATATCAATCATTAACACAACTTCTATAAGTAAATAAAAACTTGAAATTAAGTCATGAATTTGAATTTGAATAAAAACTTGAAATTAATCATTAATCATGAATTTGAAATCTTAGTAAATAAAAACTCCAACTCAACTTCTATATTTATAAAAAAAATTAAGTCATGAATTTACCTTTTATATCTATAACTCATGCCTCAACTTGAAATTTCTTCTATTGGTAAAGTTTCGAATTCCATGAAAATTGAATACATTTGTACCAATTAAAAAAACCAAAATTGTATTTAGATATAACTGAGATAGGGGGTGGGAGTGAGTGGGAATCATTCCATTATGAATCTTCAGCCTAAAACAAAATCCAAACACACGTGGGCTCAACTGGTGGTGTATGATGAGATTACAAATGTTCTTTAAATATTTTGAGGGGGGGGAAACAAAGGTGAGAAAGGTTCAAATGAAAACCTCTTTGTACAATAATGCAATAACAACATACTAAACATCCCAAAATCCCGTACTAATATACCAATAAAAGCATGAAATAACAACCCATTCACATGAAAAATATATTTAAAAATCTAAGTTTGGGTGCTCACCACGAAAAAGTTATTGAACCCATTAAATATAAATCTTGAGAGAGAGAGAGAGAGAGAGAGAGAGAGAGAGAGAGAGAGAATCACCACAAATCAACTATGTAGAGCATGTGTTAGTCCTCAAAATCAAAGAATCATGGAAGTCAAAAATTATTGAAATCAACTTCCAAACTGCCTATAATAGCTATCGACATTGGTGGATAAAAGAAAATAATTAATTATCCAGAAAAATGAAAACTAATATAATGGCTCATAACTCTATATAAGCAAAGGAAACCAGACCAAAGCCAATGGATTTTAAGTGAAAATAAAGCAATACCACAACAAATTATAAAACAGAAACCCCAATGGATTTTAATTGCCTTGAAAAATTAGACTTTCATTTGGGTTTAAAGTTCTATATATGGTGGAGAGGATCATCACTTATATTTGAACAAACTTGCATGTGCTTAAATCATTAGAATGTTATTATTACAACCAGAAATTGGAAGTTATACCATATCTTTTGAAGAATTTATGGATAGGCATAGAAAGATATTTGAATTGTTTTCTAAAGGATGACCAACAAAAGGAAACATTAAAATGCTTTAGTAAGAATGCAAATCAAATACTTACCACAATGTTCAGATGCGAAAGGTTGTTAAGAAGTTTAACTTCTTCCTCAAGTTCTCTAATTTGAACCTATTAAGCAAATTTAAAGCAATGATTCAGATATATAGGACCACAAACACAATGCTTCATATACAAATTACCATAAATGTAAATAAAGCAATTAAATTGGAAGTGATTTTCTACTTTGAAGCACTCTTACTGCAATTGAAACATTCTTAGATATACATCAATACCAAAAACAATTGAAAAAAAGTAACACACAATAAATAAATATATCCAAAAGAATCACCATAAACAAAATATATCCTTGAGAAATGAAGGAGCACCAAATCCAAAATCAGGAAGAGCACTTCTCAAAATAATAATAAAAAAGTATAAGAACATTATCCCAAAACAAAACCCACTGCTCACATCTATTGTGCACCACAACTCATCATCATTCTGCAAATCACCACTGAATAATGTTCTAGATAAAGCTTAAGTAAATACAAAAGTATTCAATAACTTCCAAAAATATTTTGTCTAATTAGAAATTATGACTAAAAAATATGACCATCTATATTATTTTCAGCTTAATGTTAACAGTCAGGTTAACCTTAATGTTTACATTAACCCGTTTAATGTTAACAATCCTCAACCCATTTGACTAACATGAAATGAAAATGGGTATTAACATGAAACCGATTTTTTCCTTTAACCACTATTTGATTCGACAGAGAGTGAGAGGTTTGTTAGTGATGGTGGGGATAATGGGATGACAAAAAACAGAGTATCCAAATTTGTAGGGAAAAGATAAATTAATTACTCATTCTATTCACAGATAAATTCAGCACTGACAATTGGAAAAGAAATTTCATATCACAATTAGGAAAAGGAAAAGAAATTTAAAAAAAAGAAAAACTATTCGTCCAATAGACTTGTAACATTAAATAATTAAATCATACTTGAAAAATTATTGAATATTCTTCAAATGCCATAAAAGTATATACATATGGTACTTCTGATCAATGAGATTGCAAAAATAAAAAATGAATGTGAATGAGAATGACTTTATCTCTATCCAATTGACCAAAGTAGGTCAGGTCAATTTTGACAATTGTTTTTCTTGTACAAAAAGCCTAAGTTCAGGTTTGATTTGTTTTTGTATAATTTTTTTTTAAATTCTAACCCATAATTTATTTGTTTAAGGTTTCAGTCTTGTTCTTTGATTTTTTTTTTTAATGCATTCTCTTGGCTAAATACTGATTTCTCATATATTAGGGGAAATTAATAATGTCCACTTTTAAAAAGATGCACATCATATTAATAAAGTTTGTTTATTTATCAAAAAAAAGAAGGAAAAAAAAAAGGATACACATCATAAGATAGTTATGAATTTTTATGATGAAAATTACTAATATTTGTGGTGTGTTAAAGTCAATTTGTGTGTGTGTAAATTCTATTGAAACATTTTATCAAACACTTAATAAGCAAGGAAGATAAAATGGTTATCAAACATTTTAGTAACAACCAAACGATAGTAATGGCACAACAACCATTCAATAGAGTAACTCAGTACAATAGTCCCACAAATTCCTACTAAATCAAAATAAATGGGTTTTGTGGAATCCAACCAACTCTTTATATATGTGTATATATAAGAAAAAACAACAAAACCCATAAAAGTATACCCAAAATCCTACATGCATATAGAAAATTAAAGAAAAACAATACTCATAGTTCGATTTTAGGAATCGTTCTTTCTCTATTCCACTAATGATCAATTAGGGTGTACACAGTCCGGATTGGTTCGGTTATAAGGAAATCTAAGAACCAAACCGATCCTAATGGTTTTGCGATTTTGAGAACCAGACCAAATCATTACACTTATAAAACTGGACTAGAACCAAACTGAAATAATAGTTCGGTTGCGGTTTGATTCACGGTTCCAAAAATTTCTATTTACAAGAATAAATTGTTCATATTAGCAAAATAATTATTCAAACTGATTATATTTAACTCATGATAAAAACTAATAATATTAAGGTATTACTCAACTTTCCATATCTATATCATCCTAATATCATTAAAATTACAAAAAACCAATTAATAAAAATAAAACTTGATATGATAATACTAAATATTATATATATATATATATATATATATCTTATTAAATAACACTTATGCATGGTTCAAGGACTGCTGTTGTTTATTAAATATTATATATATCTATATGTATCTTTTAAAATTCATTTCGGTTTGGTTTGGTTCGAACCGTGATTTCTTGAACCGAAACCGAACCGATTCTTAATAGAATCGAACCAAACCGTACGTTTCGGTTTGGTTTGGTTCGGATTGCTGGTTTGAATGGATTTTTGAACAGCCTTATGATCAATTGATGGTCTCCGTGGCTTCAAAGAAAAAAAACAAAAGAAATCTGTAATCAATGTATATACACACAATAGTCAATTAAGAAAGAGATGAGAGTATTACCTTTACTTTGTAGAATAGAGCACCCAACAAACTCATAATTTATTTGTTTAAGGTTTCAATCTTGTTCTTTGAATTTTTATTTTTTATTTTTTTTAATGCATTCTCTTGGCTAATTATTGATTTCTCATGTATTGATTTCTCATATATTAGAGGAAATTAATAATGTCCACTCTTAAAAGGATGCACATCTTAAGATAAAGGATGCACATCATATCAATAAAGTGTGTTTAATAAAGGATGCACATCATATCAAAAAAAGAAAAAAAAGAAAAAAAAAAGGATGCACATCATAAGATAGTTATGAATTTTTATGATGAAAATTACCAATATTTGTGGTGTGTTAAAGTCAATTTGTGTGTGTGTAAATTCTATTGAAACATTTTATCAAACACTTAATAAGCAAGGAAGATAGAATGATTATCAAATATTTTAGTAACAACTATAGTGATCCCGGGTTTGGCCCCTTTATGTACAGTGTTCCGGACTTAGGTTCCGTGGAGTTGGTGGTTGTTTGTCTTGTTGTCATCCTTTAACTCCTTATGTCTGAGCTTTAGGATGTGTTGGGCGTGTTTCGAACAGGTTGGTTAAGCCTTAGTCCCTTTCCTTGTCACCCAGAGTTTTGGTAGTACGCTCGAGCGGGTACCTTTGCGCTCGAGCGGGCCATTTCACGCTCGAGCGGAGTTTTCACACTTCCAGTATCTGTGCCTCTGGAAAACTTCTGTAGATGTGTTTTTCACGCTCGAGCGGGTTTCCTTACGCTCGAGCGGGTCGCGCTCGAGCGGGGTGTTCATTGTCTGTGAAAATACTGGGAGAGGAGAATCTACGCTCGAGCAAACTGGTTTTCGCGCTCGAGCGGATGTACTTTATTCTTGTGTCTTGGCGCTCGAGCTGGCCTTCTTGCGCTCGAGCGGGTCCAGTTTTTGTGCTTAACGCTTGAGCGTTCTATTATCCGCTCGAGCGGATCATGCGTATATCAGTTGGTAGCTGGGCATTTTTGAATCACTTTTCAACTTCCACTCTCTCTCTTACTTTTCTGAAAAGCCATTTTTGAGAGCTTCTCTCACTACTTTCTCCCTTCTCTCTTAGGATTGATCTAGTTGGAGTGTTCTCCTACCCTTTGGCCTTTACGAAAAATGTGTTGATCGTCGAAGGCTACGTTTTGATCCGAAAAGTTTGGAGTTTGGAGCACTTTGAGTTTGGTATTCTTCTTCGTTTGAGCTCCAACTTCGAGGTAGGGATATCCTACTCTATCTTATGAGCTTCATCTTTAAATTTTGACATTTTGATATGTTGGGGGTTGTCGGGTAATTTTAAGAAAGTTTGGGGTCCTTGTGTAATTTTCAAAAGAGGGGTTTTCAAGTTTAAAACCCATATGAATGGAATATGTTGGAAGATGGAATTGTATGTGGATCATTGATGAAAATGGAACCTTAGGGTTGGTATTGTAAATATGGGAAAAAGCCCTAATTGTTATGATAAATTAATTTGTATAATTAATTTAGGGAAAAGAGAAATTGAATAGGAAATATTCAAATTGGAAAGGTACGGGATCAAAGAGTGTAGTTGGATTAATTTATCGCTCACCTAGACAAAATGTTGATATTTTATCCATTTGGTGCATTTATTTTTTGTTTAGAAATAACTGCTTTAGGCTATCGGTGGAGGATAGTCTTGATTGTTGTAGACAATGTATGATGATTAGGCAAATTAAAACTAATCAATTGAGTATGCTATCGGGTATGGTGGTTGGTATAATACATCGAATTTTGTATTGATTGATTGAACTTATATATGATAATTGTTTATATACATTGTATTGTGAGGGAGGAGATGGGGGATGTACTCCACGGTTTATTGGAAGATGGGGGATGGACCTCTAAACCGGATATCGTTTGACATTGATACAACACTACAATGTGTATCATTTGTGAATTATAGAAATGTTTTGTTTGACATCGATATAGTACTAAAATGTGTATCATTTGTCTTAATTGATTAAATTTGTATATGATAATTGTTTATATACATTGTGTGTGGGAGGAGATAGGGGATGTACTCCACGGTTTAGGGGAAGATAGGGGATGGACCTCTTAACCGGATTTTGTAACGCCCTCAAAATAATAACGTTAAACCCATCAAATAAGACATGCGTTGACGTATAGACAAATCCACCTTCTATTATTCATTAGCGTCTCATTACATAAGTATTACATGTTAACATCATAACAAAATGCCCTACGGGCTTACAGCTTTCCAAGTGAACACTTGGTTACAACAAAGAGTACTAACTCGATACACATTAAGCCCTTGGCTTGAAGTTACATGTAATACATCAAAAGTAAAACAACAGAACATGTCCGCCTCTAGCCTCCCAGCTATGTCCTTGGAGGTGGCATGCTTCCTGTACCTGAAAATGATATTCCCATATAGGGTGAGCCACAGCCCAGTAGAAATACACTAAACCAACCATGGACAAGGACTAAAACATTAGCAATTGATAGTTGGTCAACACTGCACCGTCACCCCTAGTATGTTTGATGGATTTATGTTTGTTTGTTTGTTTGTTTGCTTCTTCTTCTTTTTTTTTTATTTTTATTTTATTTTAACAAGTTTGCTCTATATCATTTGATAAAATTTTCCCTTCATGATTGACTAGTTGTGGTTGTCTGAATGTTGCATACTCATTCCTCCTTTCTGTGAAAGCAGAGTTACTGCTGTTGATGGTCAGTACCAGATTGGAATCTATGCAGTACGCCCAATTGAATATGGTGAAGAGATCACATTTGATTATAATTCTGTTACGGAGGTGTGTGTTTTGAGCTTGTTAAGCTTTTATTTTTATTTCTATTCTGGGTGATAATTTATGTGATTGTTAATAGAAACTATTATAATATTGCTGGCAATGTATGTCTGCTTATTATGCTGCAGAGTAAAGAAGAATATGAAGCATCAGTTTGTTTATGTGGGAGCCAAGTTTACCGTGGGAGCTACTTGAATCTGACGGGTGAAGGAGCCTTTCAGAAGGTACAGGCTTGAATATGATTTTCTTAATTGTAATTTCCAAATCTGAATATCACATCAAGTTTTGTCAACTGGACAAAACAAAAGCAAAAGGAAAGGAAAAGAAAGTTTTAGTTGGTCCCGTGGAGTTTGGGGTTCAACCGGCCTTGTACAAGGGGCTTGCTTCATTAGCATTCTGGCTGTTGTAAGCTCATTCCATTTTTGGAGGATTCGCTCCTTGTTCCTGCGGCTGATGAGCTTCAAGCTCTGCCCCCCTTACTCAACTCTTAATCTATAATGAATTCCTTTCCCCTTTCCGAAATAACACGGCAAGCTTCAGAACCAGTGGTATTGCACAATCCTATCTTTCCTTAAAGTAAGCTCAGAGTGGGAGCAGTTTCTACAGCAAACCATCCATGTTTATTTACTTTTAGTATTTTCATGTGGTGGTAAATGTGGTTATTCCTTTCCTATTGAAATTAAGTCAGTTATATTTTCATTTAACTTTGTTCTAATATTCACTAGGTTCTGAAGGATTGGCATGGAATACTGGATCGACATCACTTGTTGCTAGGGGCTTGTGAATTAAATTTTGTATCTGAAGAAGATTATATTGACTTGGGTAGGGCTGGTTTGGGAAGTTGTTTACTTGGGGGATTGCCGGGTTGGCTGATTGCTTACTCAGCTCGTCTGGTATATATCTATGCTATATCTAGCTTGCATTTATGGGTTT